ATCTTTTCTTCTAATATTAGATTTTCTTACCTCCTAGAGCTACGTCACTCTTTATTCGCAGACTCCATAAAATTGCTTTGTAAGTAGCCATGACGTCATTTACTCAAGTAACTGCATGTATCGAGTAGGCGGCTTTGGTGTTATTGAGGTATCCAGGCAAACAAAAAGTCTAGCATTGGTATTGCATCATTTTGTAATTGAAGAAAATGAATGTGAACAAAAGCATAATTTACACTTTTCCATAAGAAGTTACGTAGAAAAATCCTTGCTATTGCATTTTTTGCGGAAATAAATAAATCTTGTTTTGAATAAAGTTTTCTAAAAGACACTTGTCCTGACTTTTGATCCCTTCTTATTATTCAAAACTATGCCTTTTTGACTAATCGAATCTTTCTTTTATCTTTGCCGAGCGATGTTGTTTTTATGTGCATTTAATGTTGAAATTTTAGGCCATACAAATAGATCGGAGCCAAATCGAGCGCATGGTCGGCGATTTAGAGAAGGCACCGCCGCCTCCGATCGACGCACCACCAGCTCCACAATTGCCATACTGGTATGATCAGCATTTTTTCGTTTTTTTACCCTCCTCTGTTATTTTGTAGAAGGGATTTTTCTTATCACTTGGGTATCACAGCTTATCCATTCCAAATGATAGAAGTTGGATTTCGGTGAGGTTTAGGTTCACTACCGAGTGTCGTAACAATTTGGTGAACTGCGACGTGCCAGCGATGTCGGTGCCGAGCGCGCCGTCGCCAATTCCACCGCCTCTTCCGATGCCAGATCTTAAGCAGCAGCTGAAGGCACAACTTGAATATTACTTCTCAAGGTGGGTTCTGTCCGGCTTTATCATTATTATTTCTTTCCGTTTTCTTGCCCTGATGTTTTTTTTTCTCATAAAAGATGCTCATTTCTTGCGGCTTCTTCCCTATTGAAGCCCTTAGGCGCTCGTTTTTCATTTAATTTCGGCGTAGTTCCTCTATGTGTCTATCGCCATTCCTCGTTAGCCAGCAGACTACCCGATGAGCAAAAGGCTCGCATGTCGATAATGAGAGCACAACGCGGCCATGGCGGATGTTTTCCGTTCGTATCCGC